AAAACAGGACAATGCAGTTGTCATTCCTAATCTGAAGATCCTGATCTGTCTGCTGAGCTCACTTGGGACCCCAGTGTACATTGTGCAAATACTGGTAAGCAATAGGAAAAACTGCCCTGAGTGTTAGTCGTGGTGTTAGTAACCAGTTCAAAGTCTGGATAGATCACAAGATGCAGAGTAGATAAACACGTGTGGTGGATACCCCCTCATTGTACTGCAAGGCAGGATGAAGTGAGGGTTTTACCCTGTCTCCAGGATCCCAAAGTTTTTGAGATCACCTGTGATATTCCCTACCCTCTGATTCACCCAGTGATCCAAAGCAGGATCCCACTGCGCTTCCTTCCAGCTTCCAGCTGAAAATGAGGGTTTGCTCCTGCTTCAGTAGGACTGCTGACAAGTCTTGGAGGTGAGGGGGGTGAGAGCCAGGCCTTGGTCTTTGTGTGGGAAAAGCACAGGATTCAATTGCTGGAAGTGTTTCTTTAACACATATTAGAACAGATAAAGAAATATTCAGGTTTAGTAGGATCTCTTGCTGTCACTCAAATGAGTGTGTAGAGCCCAGAGCTCTAGTTTGGCGCACTAGAGCCATGTGCTAAAGGCATTCGTATTGCAGGCAGGTTTGAGCAGCCCAACTCCTGCTGTTGGGAGCAAGAGGAGGAAGCTCAGGATTTGGTCCTTGGAAATGCAGACAGGAATCTGTGTCCAGGGTATCAACCAGCTTCTCCCACCTCTTCTCACCAGACCTGATGGGAAGTGCCTGGATTTCTGCAATGCAGCTTCTCTGGGCACCCTGTGCCAGCGCCTCAGCACCCTCACAGGGAAGAGCTTCTGCCTAAGAGCTCATCTCAGTCTCCCCTCTGGCAGGTTAAAGCCATTCCCCTTGGCCTGTGCATACAGACCCTTGCCCAAAGCCCCTCTCCAGGTTTCTTGCAGCCCCTTTAGGTATTGCAGGACTATTATAAAGTCTCTCAGAAGCCTTAAATAAATAAATATATTTTTCTATTTTATATCAAAATAGATCAAAACATATAATTGTGAGTAATAAGATCAAGGTATCATTCTTTATGTTGTTATTAACTCATTTCCCAAACTCTTTCCAAAGACAGCTGATTGCTGGCATCTTCCTGCCCTGCCTCAAGCTCTCCTCCTCCCTGAAGCCTCTAATTACTGCTTTGCTCCTTTTTCCCTTGTAGTGGAACAGAACCTACTCCAGGCTTCGGCCTCTTTAAAAATACATCTGCTCTGCACTAAAACACATGGAATAATAGAAGAGCGGCCGTCAGCAGAGGCACCCTTTACCTGGATGCCTTTCAAAGGCAGGAATCTTGGAAAGAACATGGAGCATTCTCTCTCCTCTAGACTCAAAGCTGGGCACAAAGCTGTGACATGCTGGTAAGAGCTGAATGAGGGGGTTCACATGTCCCTCCTCCGGGGCAAGGCTGCTTGCAGCAACACACAGGTTAGTCTGGAGTTATGGCTCTGGGCTCAGGCAATGCCTGTTGCTCTTACTGCGGATGGGGGGGGGTGGTGGCCACCTTGCTGATTCCCCACAGCCTTTAAAGCTCTGGATGAGGACTAGAGCTACAGAATCCATGGATGGAGACATGGGACCTGCTGGTCATCCCCAGGGAACCCAGCTATCAACAACCTTACTGCCTTGTTTCCCTTCCCAGTTGGGAAATCATCCCCTTGCCTGTGTGCTGACACAAGAGCTGTGCTGGCAGCATTTGCTGCCATCCCCCAGCTCAGGAACCATGGTCAGTCCTTCTTCCTGTGGAACAAAGTGGGGTGAAAGGGATCTGGTGCAGCATTACAGCCATGCCCCATCCTAAATTATTCTAAAACATAAAGGAGGGATTTCTTCACACATGTCTGCATTTGCCTGGACTTACCAGGCTCAAGTTCAGCAGAGGGTCTTGGCTTTTATAGCAGGATAAAAAAGAGCATGACACGGAGCTAATCAGCTTGGAAGGGAGCACTGTATGGCAAGAGATTCTTGCTGTGGGGTCACGCACCAGCTCTAAGGGCAGAGCTCCAGTAACTGATGTCTGAGAGCTTCAGCAGCCCAGAACTGGTGGGCAACTTCCCTCAGGAAGCCTTTGCAGCACCAGGGGTAAGGACCCATCTCTGCTAAGCTGTCGTGATCCCATTTATAGATGTCTCCATCTGAGCTGGCTATTCAGCATCTTTATAGGATTTTGAGGTGAGTAAGATGCCTCTAGAGCACCATTCACCCTCCCCACTTCAGAAGTCAATGTTAGAAAGAGATTGTGCTGTCGATTCCCTGGTTCCTCTTCCATTGACCATAACTGGAGCCTAGAGGTCTACACTCACTCGTGCACCCACCCCTGCTTCGAAGACCCCAAATCCGCCTCTGTCAGATCCCTGGTGAGTTAGCTCTGTGTGATGCTTTTCAGTCCTCAGGAAGCACCATCTTCTGGCTGGAGGGCTGGGGAAGGGGGAAGGCCTTTAGGTATCTGGCTGGGCCCAAACCCTCGAGGGGAGACCCACAGGAGAGGACAGCCACAGCCACCCTCACCTTGCCACCAGCTTCCCCTTGGCAGAAGCACCCTGGGTAGGAGCAGCAGAAACCGACACAGAAATGGAGCTGCAGGACAAAAGCAGGAACCTGTGCCTGGCCCATCCTGGCCTCTGGACCTTGGGACAGGAAAAGCCAGCAGCTTTTCCCCAAGCTGTGCCCAGGAGGTGTCCATGGAGGGGCAGGGAGTGGAATGCCAAAGGGGCTCTTCTGTGATTCTCATACTCCTCTTTCTTGGATCACCACCCTTTCTCCCCATGCATCCTGGAGCCTCGCACACAACCTGAGCACAGTGGGTGCTGCTGGAGCAGGAGCAGGACTAGGAGCAGGAGGAAGAGGAGCAGCAGGAGCAGGACTAGGAGCAGGAGGAAGAGGAGCAGCAGGAGCAGGACTAGGAGCAGGAGGAAGAGGAGCAGCAGGAGCAGGACTAGGAGCAGGAGGAAGAGGAGCAGCAGGAGCAGAACTAGGAGCAGGAGGAAGAGGAGCAGCAGAAGCAGGACCAGGAGCAGGAGGAAGAGGAGCAGAAGGACCAGTAGCAGGACCAGGACCAGGAGGAGGAGCAGGAGGACCAGGACCAGGACCAGGAGCAGCAGGAGGAGGAGCAGCAGGACCAGGAGCAGGAGCAAGAGGAGGATCAGCCCCTGAGCCGACTCCTGCCTATTCCCCCGGGTGTGATGAGCTCTCCAGGCCTCAGCCCTGCTCTGCACCTGCTGCCCGCCCTTCCCAACCACCGGATCCTGCTTCTTGTCCCCATCGTGTGCTCCTGTCCCTGCCGGTCCCCCCGATCCCTTACCTGGTGGTCCCGGGAGCTTCGGGCAATCCCGGCCCCGCTCCAGCTCCGCGCATTCGCTTGAGCGCTTTGCATTTGTGCTTGGGAAATACCGACTCGCCTTTTTATGGTGGCGGGTGATAAATATTGCATCGCTCTCCGTTGCAAACTTTGAGAAACGGGGGCAGAGTGGCCCCTGCGAGCCGCCGGACAGCCCCCCCCCCCTCCAGGCTGGGATGAGAGGTCCCGATTTGGGGGTGAACGGGAGGGTTCTGGTTTGAGGGGTCCCTGCGATGCGGGATCGTGTTTTGCCTGCGAGGGAGAGCTGGGGGTGGGGGGAACGGGGCCCCGGTAATGCTGGAGCCGATTCTCCGGGCCCCCCCGGGCAGCACTCAGCATCCACCGTCATTAAAATTTCATCAGCAGCACTTGGCCAAGGTCTATTTATGAAAATGCGCTTTTCACTCCATGGAAAAAAAACAACCCACGAAAGGAGAGAAAGAACAAAGGCGGGGATGGGGGTGGAGAAGCGCCCTGGAATAACGCGGAGGGGGCCGGTCGGGATGAGGGGTCCTCCTGCTCAGTCCCCCAGAGCCGGTTCCGCACCCCGGCGGGAGCTGGGGCGCTGCGCGGGTTTCACTCTGTTCGCTTGGGTTGTTCTTGGTTTGTGTTTCGTGGGGTTTCCTTGGGCTTGGTTTTGTTTGTTTGTTTTGGGTGTGTTTTTATGTTGTTTTGTATTTCTTTGGGTTTTTTTAATTGTTTTTTGTTGGTTTGGGAGTTGTTTTATTTTGGTTTTATTTTGGGGGTTTGTGGGTGATTTTTGTTTGTTTGTTTGTTTTCCTTTTTTTCTGTTTTCGGGTTATTTTGTTTTGTTTGTTTTGGGGGGTTTTGTTTGGGTTTTTTTGTTTGTTTGGGTTTCCTTTTTTTTTTTTTTTTTCTTTGCTTGCTTGTTTGGGGTTTTTTGTGTCTGCGGTTTTCGTTTCGTTTTGGTTTTTCCCCCCGTAAAAGCCTCTCCGTCCGACCGCAGGATCCTCCCCAACCTAAACCTTGAACCTGAACCCAACCCGAACCCTCATCACAGCCCCGTTCCCCCGAATTTTTCCAGCGAATAAGTTATTACAAAATAAAAAAAAAAAAAAATAAAAACCAACAGAAAAACCCGAAACAAACCAACCCCAACAATACAAACCCAAACCAAACCCAAACTAACACTCAAAAACCCCACAAACCACACCCCGCTATTTTCGCTCCCCCGGACGGGAACACCCTTATCATTGGTCCAGGCTCATCTCGGGGTCCCGGACCCGTCTTGGCGGGGGGCGTCCTGCCCGGTGGAAACGCCGGGACTGCGGCGGGGCAGCAGCGAGGGGCAGAGCCCCGTCCCCGCGGGGCTCGCGGGCGAGTGGAGCCGCGGGAGCATCCTCCGGGCTTCGAGGCAGAGCTCACGCCGGGCTCGGCTCGGGGAGCCCCAGCTCCGCTGAGTCCCTTCCCCAAGGGGGCTCCTCCAGCGTGTCCCCGCAGTGGGTCCGCTAGAGGGAAGACCCGCTCCGGCTCGGCCCCACCGCTGGCTTCCCCATGGAGGAGAACGGCCAGAGCCGCGTCCCGTCGGCGGCCGGAGGCGGCGGGGTTGGGCTGGAGGAGCCTCAGCGGGGCCGAGCCCGGCGGCCGCAGGAACTCCAGGAGGCAGGAGGGTGAGGTAAAACGTGCATGGTTTATTTGAAATGCTGCAGCGTACACAGACAGCGAACTCCATTCAGCACACACGCGGCGCAACGAAATCTCGTTTACTTTTAAGTTTAAAAATAAAGCAAACCAAAAAGGAAACGGAGGCAAAAATGTCTCTATTAAATACGCAAAGAAAAGAAAACCCAAACGCAGTGCTCTTGCCTTAGAAAGTGCAGCGCTGACGCTTTGCAGAGGAGCCGCCCGCGGGGGTCTGGGCTGCGGGACCCCCCCCCCGGGCCGCTCCTGGGCCCCCGGTGACTTGATTGTCGAAGCGTAGGATTGAACACAGGGAGATCAGAGGGACCTCGGACTGTTCGCGTGAAACCAAAGCAAAACCAAAGCTCCATTCCCAACACACGGGCTCCAGGGACGTGCCAATTTATCCTTTTTTTCATTATTTTTAATTATTTTCTCTTTTTTTAATGTATTTTTTTCTTCTTTTTCTTTTCGTTTTAATTCAGCCGATGAGGTAGAAACAGAAATGTTACTGCAAAAACGCGATGGGTTTGGAACAGAACCATGCAAGTGCGTGTGTGTGGAGGCCCCGGCAGCGGGGAGCGCGGCGGACACCCCTATTTACAGCCACCCGGTGCACTTCCAGCTCGTTTCCTTTCTCAGGTATTTCACGTGTTTTCCTTATTTTAGGCTATTTGAAAGGAAAGAAGCGGGCACCAGGCGAAGGGCTGCGGCAGAGCCTGCTGCGCTGTGGGTGCTGCTGCCCTGACCGCGGGCCCCCCAAAACCCCGCCTGGGCCCTTCGGTTTCTCTTTTCCTTTTCCTCCACCTTTTGTCCAGTTTTATCTACAAAAGCAGTCTGTACCAGTCCCAGCTGTGGGGCCGCTTTGCCCGGGGTGGAGGAGCAGGCACCAAATTCTTTGCTTTGGGGGGGGTTCCCTTTTTTTAGGTTTATTTTTCCTTTTGGTTTTTTTTTTCTCCCCCCCAGTTTTCTTTTTCAAACACCACCACCAACAGCCCCCAGCCCGGCCCGTTCTGAAGGGGCCGGGGGGGGGGAGTGGGGCAGACCCTCCCCACCACTACCCTCCCAGCCCCTTCTTCAGTAGGTAGCAGAAAATTTCATCCTTTTCTGCTTCTGTCTCTGATTGCAAAACCAGACCCGCACCACGTTCTTCTTCAAGTCTAACTTCTCGGCGATGGCAGCGATTTTCTCCGAGGAGGGCCGTGGCTGCACGGCAAAATAAGCCTCCAGTGAGCGCTTCTCGGGGGCAGCGATGGACGTGCGCTTGCGCTTCTTGTCCCCCGCCGTGTAGATCTCAGGTTTGGTCATTTTCTCCCTCTGAGCCCGTTCAGCCTCCTCCAGCCACGCTTCCAGGATGGGTTTGAGGGCCACCATGTTGTTGTGGGACAAGGTGAGAGACTCGAACCTGCAGATTGTGCTTTGGCTAAGGCAGCCCACCCCCGGGATCTTCAGGTTGGCCAGCGCGGAGCCCACATCTGCCTGGGTCACCCCCAGCTTGATCCTCCGCTGCTTGAACCGCTCAGCAAAGGACTCCAGCTCCCGGGGGTCCGTCTCCGTCTCGGGGCTGGAGATGACAGTATGGGAAGCCAGGCCGTGGGGGTGGGACACGTTCATGGGCTGGGAGTGATGGGCCATGTGGTTGATGGCCGACATGTGGGAATGTGGGTGCGAAGGAGTGGATCCCACGTCCAGGCCCGGCACCCCTCCAAGCGGGAGGGCAGTGTTGAGGTGGTCCAAGAGCTCTCCATCCAGGCCCTGGGAGGGCTGGTGGTGGTGGGGATGGTGGGTGGTCAGCACGGACGGGTGGTGCAGGTGGACGGAGGAAGAGGTAGGAGTGCAGGACACGCTGCTCATGGTGTGGTAAGTGGCATCTGGCTTGAAGGGGTGGGTTTTCTGCGACACGATATCCACGGCGGCCAGAGCCTCGGCGCCCCGCAGCAAGGTCTCGTCAAAGCCCGCAAAAATGTTACCCTGGATCTGCGGAGGGGGGATAAAAGTGGGAGCAAAAACAAACTGAAAGAGCGGGAGAGGGTTAAAAGGAAGTTGCTGTGATCCAGCTCTGCCCCTCCAGCAGCACCTGGGACAGGGCCGATGAACCGAGTTCAACCCTTTTCCCCCGGCCAATTTAAAGTGTCGGGAGCAGGTGCCGGACTCCAGGCGCCTCCGTGCTCTCCGGGGTCCTCCCCGGAATCGGAGAGAGGCCTCCGAGGGGCCCAGAGCCACCGGACATCCCGCAGAGCCGCCGCTGCACCGACGGGGCGGACGGGGGAGAACGGCCGCCTTCTCCTCGCCGGGGCGGACCCACCGGCGCTTCCCCACTTTTCGGCCCCTCTCCCGGCTCCGGGAGCGCTAGGAGAGAGAAACCCCCCACCCCTCTCTAACCCCACATAGCACCCAAAACCAGAAGGAAACCGTTTGGAAGCTGGGGAGGGCACAGAGCGGACCCCCCCCCCCGATCCCTCCCATGGGGTGCTGTAGGGAGCCTCACTCGAGGGGCAGCTTACCTGTGGGGCGGGCAGACAGGCCCTGCGGATGGCCTCGGAGCTGGTGTGCAGGTGAGGGAACTTGGGCTCGTGCAGGATGGGGTGCATGCTGAACGCCTGCTTGCTGTTCATGGACATCATCGTGGGAGCGGAGCGGGGCAGAAGCGCTCCGGGCTGCCCGGCTCGGGGGCGCGGTATTGTCTGACTCCGCCGCCCGACATCAACAGCATTATAGCCCGGCCCCCCCGCCCCCCCGCTCGCTCATTGGACGGGCTCCGGCAGGTCCCTCCCACCGCCCGCCCCCCGGCACACAGTTCATCCCCCCTACCTCCCGTTGTACTCCCCAAACTGGGGTTCCCCCACCCCTGTCCCGGCTCCGTGCATCCCCGAGCGGGGGGGCTGTGCGCCGTTATCCCGATCCCTCCGGTCGCAGCGATAAGGATGGGGATGGGGAGGGGATGCTCTTGGCTCCCTCTTGCCCTCACCGACAGAACTGGGTGGGGGCGAGAGGCGCCGGGTCCCGCTTCAGCCCAGGACGCGCCGTCGAGCTTCAGCTCGGTACGGAACGGCCCTGTACGGTACCGAGCTGCATCCTCCTGCTGCATCCTCCTTCTACATCCTCCTGACGGGCTTCTGACCGGTCCCTGCCAGCGGCTTCGGGCTGCGTTTCCCTAGCTGGGATTTGGGGAGCAGAACAAACCCGAGCCTGGGGGTGAGGAGGAGCCGCCAGATCCCCTCACCTCCCTCTGAAGGGAAGAATTCCGTGGGGTTAAAACCAAGAACAACGAAATAAGGAAAAGTTTCACCAAGTTTTCCTTGGTTTGCCCTGTTTCGATGCAGTTACCTGGCCCGGTTATCCCACCCCTCCTGTCAGTGCAGGATCCCACCGGCTCCACGGCTGTCTGTCTGTCTGACCCTCTCCATCCTCCTCTCTCCAGCTCACCACTGACTGTCTATGCCAGACAGTCTCCTGCTTCCTTCATCCACACGGGTTTCCTTACAGCCGCTGCCCATGCTGTTTCCCTGCTCTTCTCCTTGCTGCCACCGAGCCCAGACCCCAGCGCTGCAGAAACCCGGTGGCTGCCTGTTGGAGTGGGGGCTGTGCAGCCCCCTGGCTGCCCCCAGACCTGGCAAAAGGTAGGTGAGAAGTGCGATGGGCAGCAGCGCTGCCAGCCCAGGCAGGGGGACCAATGGAGGGGACTCCCATCCACACCTGCTGGAAAAGCGAATGGTCACCACAGGGCTGATGGAGGACAGAAGGGTGTTTGGTCGTGCTCAGGGCAAAGGTCTTCCCAGGGGAACAGAGCGTGTTAATCCAGCCCCCAAAATCCAGCCCTAGAAACGCCTGTAAGGATGATCATACACAGGGCAGGTGGTTTAAGAGTCAGGGTTAGTATCAGTTTTCCTGGCCTTTTTCCCACTCACCCTCTTCTGCACAGAGCCTGCATCTGGCATCCTCTGAGATGCTGCTTCTCATGGGGATACTAGAGTACTCTGGGTCAGGCAGGGACACAAGGGAATGGAAGTCCTGATCTAACCACAGCCCCTACCTGAAAGGATAAAGTTTCCCATAAAGATGGTTCTTTGGCTCTGGACATGCATGGGGAAACGTCAAATCCAGACACAGGAGACAAAGCAACCACCACCGTGAGTGTTGCTGCCCAGATTCAGGCACAGCCACCAAATAGTGATTCTTCTGCAGCGAGGTCCCTCAATGAGACCCGTGCAGACATCACTTGTGCAGAAGAATGGAGGTAAGCCCTGGTTCTGGAGGAGTCTGCTCTGGGGGGAGCTGTCAGCACTATGGAGCTGCCAGGAAAGCCCCATCCCTCGGGTCCTCAGAGGTGGGAGAGGTCAGTGGGCACGGTCCAGGCAGACCTTTGGGCTCATTAAAATCCCACACGTGCCAGAGGCCCCCAGACCTGTCAACACGCTGGTGCTCTGACTGCAGGCAGGAGCAGACAGGAGCTCTGAAGCCTCTTCCCCTTCTGCTCTCCATCACACAGCTCTCTGAGTCATGTCTCCTCTCTGCTGCTTGCAGAGAGATTGCAGCATCAGGTGATGGGCAGAGGAGAGCAGCTGCCAGAAAGGTTCTCTGGAAGCTCTGTATGGAGGAGACTCACACAAAATCATTGCAGAAGGGAATTGTTCCTCCTGGGTGCTCTGCCATGGGCACAGGCACCTTCTCCCCTTCAGCTGACAACCCCTGGCTGTGTTAACTCTGACAGCCGGAAGACTTTGTCAGGGGATTTCCCAGTTCCTTTTGCTGGGCTCTCTTCGGTGACCCCTCATTTCAGCAGCTCAGAGAAGGGAGGCTGGAGAGAGCAGTTCAGTTCCCAGCCCTGGATTCACCTCTGCCCAAGGGAACCAAACCTCGCTGCAAGGAATCGACTCCAGACTCTGCCCTGGGATGTGCCTGGGAGGCTCAGGACTCCGGGACCAGATGTGGGCACGTTCCTCGTCTGCACATCACTCAAACTCGGCTGGAGCAGGGGGAAATCAGCTGAGAGTCTGTGAACAGCACAAGGCTTTGTTTTCCACACTTGCAACAGCTGTGGGAGCAGGAGAAAAACTGTCCCAGGCCAGCCCAAAGACTCCTCTGGCCTCGTGTCTCGGGTGTTCATACAGGACAACCAGACAAGCAGCAAATGAAGTAAACGGCTTTCCTTCCCTTTCACTGCCCCGTGTATTAGAGGTTAGCAGACCTCTTCTCCCAACAGCCAAGCCTCCAGCCTTTGAGTCTCGTTTCATCACAACCCCGAGCACCCTGCTCTGCATTGGCTTTGTCTTGGTCATGAACTGTTTGAGCAAGAGATACTCGGGGTAGAATCCCCCACCACACACGCTGGCACTGACACTGAAGCACACTCGCAGTGTGTACAACCAGCAGGGACACTGAGACACCAGTGACAGCAGAACCACCTCCCAGCTCTATCCCATGGACGAAACTGCATGGATCTGTGACTGATTCCAGCAGGGAAGAGAGCAGGTCTTTGTGTCAGAGCTCCCAAAGCCTCTGGATTGATTCAGGAGTTATCAGATTCCTCCTGGGCAGGGAAAACCAGGTGTCTTATAACCAGGATGGACAAAGATGTGCAAAGCACCAAGCAAGGAGGAAGTGTCTACAGCAGCAATACTTAATGTCCAAGCTACTTCCCAGCTGTCTGTTCCTTCAGCCCTTCACACCTGGGAATGTTGCTAGTATCCTTTGCAAGGAATGAGCTGGACTTTCAGAGATTGCCGATGCTCAGCTGTGGATTTCTTGAGTAATACGGGGCAGCTCTGCAACACTTGCTGTAGTATACGCAGTATATACTGGAGTTAGTGTATACTTCATGTATATACTGGCTTTCCTCCCTAATTGCTAAGACCTGACCCTCCACCCGTCCATCCCTATCAGTAACTCCTGTGGATAATTTCACTAGAATCAGGATAAAAAAAGGAGACTCAGGTTCTTCCCTATTCTGACCAAATAAAAATGTGGAATAAAGAACCTCATGACGTGAACCTTTTGAAAAGGAGCTGGCACCCCAGCCTGCTTGGTGCTGAGATACATTCCTATGCAGAAAGGAAGAGCCAGAAAGCTCTGTGAGTCATTGTTGCTCCTTGTGATGGTCATGTTGTGGATATCTGCCATGGCAGGAAAAGTTAGCAAGAGGACAGGGATCCTGTGGATATCCTGTCACATGAAGCAAGTGCAAGATGCTCTGTCATTGACACTGGGAAAAAAAACATCTTGGAGATTCTCTCTAAGGTCTGTGTTCAAGAAACTCCATCTCTCTGTTGCTTTCTGAAGATGACCCATAATTTCTTGGTCTGGCTTCCTGCCTTTATCCAATAAAATCTTGCATCACTCCGCCTAATTCTCGTGTTTTCAATCAAAGGATAACTCAGAGCTGAGTTTTCAGAGGGCTGTCCTGCCTGCCGTGTGGTTTGGTGCCTCAGGCAGTTGCCTCCAAGCTCCAGCTGTTTTTATTACCTAAGTGGGTTTGATTGCTCCTTCATTTGTGCCTGAATGAGAGCCCTTGGCACCCTCTTGGGCTTTAATGGGGTCTGTGTGTTCTAGCTACCAATTAAGCCACTGGCAGCAATTAACAGCTTCCAGCCTAACCTTAACACGGAGCAGAGGGGACACACGGCTTTCCAGGTCTTTGGGAGGAAAAGAGACATGACTTTCTGCAGAAGGATGGAGCACACTGGCTGGGAATGGCTCTGTCCCCAGGTCACTGCTGCCACTTTCTGCTTCATCAGTCCCAGGCTCTCAGGCACGTTTTCCAGCAGTGGGCTGGTGAAGGTGACAGTGCTGGTGGGTGTCACCCCAAAGTGTGGGCACACACAGGAGGGGACAGGTACCCACCTGTATGCACTGGCGGTCAGGACTGCTCCTGGAAAACGCTGGTGGAGTGGTGTAGAGATCAGGAAGTTAGTGCATGGGAAGTGTCCCCCAACCCAGGCAGTGGGACAAGTAAGGGGGCCAACTTAAGGTGCTGAAGCTCTGGCACAGGGTGCCCAGAGAAGCTGTGGCTGCCCCATCCCTGGCAGTGTTCAAGGCCAGGTTGGACACAGGGGCTTGAAGCAACCTTCTCTAGTGGAAGCTGTCCCTGCCCATAGCAGGGGGTTGGAGCTTGGAGGTCCATTCCAATCCCAGACCATTCTATGATTCTGTGATTCTATGACCCTTCTGCCCCTCTCCTCTCCTTACAGTCCTTCTCAGCACCTGAGCAAGTAGAAGAAAACAAAAATGGTGTATTTGCACTGGATATTTTAGGCTTATACATCATTCATCTCCAATCATCATCATCATCCTTCATCAACAGCCAATGGTTCTCCCTACCAGCAGCAGTTCCAGTCCCTGCCAGTGGCTCTGCCGGGCCTCTGGCACATCCTCACTGTTGCAGGGCTATGGCTCCTGCAAGCACATCCCTCAGCCCTGCTCAGCAGACCTGACACCACCTCCACCATCTGTGGAAACCCTGGGGAGGATCCATCCGTCAAAATTAAGATGTTGGGGGATTAAATGCTTCAATCTCACTGGAATTGACATTTTCTGAGGAAAATTGGTTTTGTCAGAAGATGTGTGAGCAGCTCTACTTGCCAGAGGTCTGCACCATCAGGGTGATGGTTTAAGCTGCCTGCTTGAGTGCAGGAACAGAAAATCAAGCCCCAGAGCGCTTTCAAACTGTACTCTAAAAGCTGTCTCACA